TAAAAAGGCAGAGGGAATAACACCCCCTCAAGCATTGTGCCCCCATTCCATCTTGGCGTGTGTCATTCCTGCATGGAATCCCAACAGGTATCAAACTACTTTATTTCTGCAGTGTGGCAGCAGCTTAAGACTCTGGGAGACCAAGGTTCAAATCTTCCCTTGACCATAGAAACCCACTGGGTGACCTTGGGCAACTCATAGTCTGGGTGCATGTACACTGTAGAAATAGTGCAGTTTGACACCAATTTAACTGCCATGGCTCCATCCTACAGGATTTGTAGTTTTGTGAGATACCAGCACTCTTTGGCAGAGAAAGCTAAAGACCTGGCAAAACTACAAATCCCAGGATTTCATAGAATGTAGCTACAGCACTTAAAGTGATATCAAACCACATATTTCTACAGTGTAGATTCATTAAGCTGCCTTTGAACAAATCTTGGCAAGGAAACTCCATAATATCTTTGCCTTAGGTTTACCATAAGTCAGCAAAGATTTCACGGCACATCAGCTATCACAACAATAAAAACAGTGGTTGCAAAACAACAATGGTATGTAGCTGCATTGTGATAGGAAACTTGGCACATGTAGTCATAATAGTCCATGTAAAAGATTCCACATGAATAATGTTATGTTTATACTGGGACTGAACTTTATTTCCTTCGTTTACAGAGAAGAAAGCATCTGGAGTTAGTTAGTTTTCCAGACAACACTTGCCATGCGTTCTTTGGTCCACATAAAAACAAAAAGATGCAGCCAACTTCATTCTCATTAACCCCATCACTTATGTGTTGCAGGAAGATGATGGTTTGCTCTAGTTTTTATAGAATTGATTCATAACTATTAGACTAAGATGCCTCCCTTCTAAATGCTACCATTTGGATAATTTTATGCCATTTCAGAGGAAACAGTAGAACATAATTTATTGAAACCAGAGAGGAGGAACGTGGCCATATGTTAAAATCCCCATCCTCCTAATCACTAGCCATATGGACTGGGGCTAATGGAAACCAGAGCTCAGCAACATCTGGAAAGCTAGAAGCTTCCTGTGTCTAGATCTGGAAAAGATTTTCACAGCATATACTTAGAAGTCCACAGCACTCCCATCCATGCTTTGTGGTCCCCTAAGCCCAGGATGATGGTTAAATCTTTGAATTTTACATCATACATGGCTTTACTTGATTCCCTTTCAGGAAATGATATGGAGAAAACAGGAGAGTACAGCTCCCAAACAGCATAAAGGATCAAATGTACAAAAATGTCCAGATTATTACCAAGTATTCTGAGTATAGGATTTCATATACAAACTAGCATACCAATGTAAAGGAGCTATTAATGGGTGCCCATAGTTTACAGCTGGCTTATTCACAAGAAAATTCCCCTATGGTCAATAAAACCTGCACAGACAAGGATGCATAATACTGTAGAATTTAGTTCTGGTGCAAATGGTTTCTCATGCCACCAGCTTTTTATTAATGTATAATTATCAAGTTTTTCCCAGTCCCCTGGTAATGATAGATGTATTGGTGTATGTTGACAGAACTTTT